GACACTGGACGTGGCTGTATCCATAATTAAATATACAATAAATAAACAATGTAACAAATAAATAATACAACAAACAATAAGTTGACAATAATTTTTCAAAGAAACAATATCAACAACTGTAAAAATAATAATAATACACGCAACGTTGCTCGTATTATTCAATATATTAAAAATATTTATATTCAAAAACGGAAAAGTTAATAAGAAAACAATGACAATAAACATGTAATATTATGCATGAGGTTTAAAATGTTTGAATACATCCAACTGTTCATTTCATATGGATTGAAAAAAGTGCAACATACAAATGAACATAAACGAAGAACCTGTACATATGGGACTTAATAATTATTGAAAATACGAGGAATGAATTAAACATCACATCGATTGTGTTAGATGAATGATACTACAAAGTCAAAAAGTGCAGGTCGGTATACCAAATCGTTTCTGAATATTTTATGCGAGACTTCTTATGTACATAAACTACTATGTTATCCCATAAGTAATACGAATTTCCTTTGATACTTGTAGAAAGTGAATTATAAAAATATAATCAAAATTATTAATCATCTACGTATTTTTCCGGATTTTCTATACTTCGCCACCTTTCTTCTAATTTTTCAATGCCCGTTTTATAAAAACTCCCGACGTTGCTTATTTTTTCCCACTTAAATAATTTTGCAGGCTTCTAAACATCTGGATTATACGTTGGATGAATCATTTTTCCCCAACCAAATTCCTCTAATTTTTTAAATTCCTCAATAGACTTTTGTATTAACGGTACTGTTCGGTTCTAGCAGTTTGAAGTGTATTATGCCTTGCATATCCTACCAAACACTTGGCAGAATTTTCTTTGGGTGCAAGTTTGGCTTTGCCTATGATATAGAGCAGGCTTGGGCGACTGGCGTCTCGCGATCCGCAGACGACTCCTCTCCCTACTCCTGGGTCCCCCCCACCAAACTCCTGTGGAGTATAGGAGGAGGTTGGGGAGATTGGGAGTGTATATGTAGGAGGCTGTATCCTCGCCTTACGCATATACGCATGCATATATTCGCAGTTACGCGAGGCAAAGCGCACGGTAAAGGCAATATGATATAGTTGATAGTGGGGGAACCGGAACACTGGTAGTGGAAATCGTGAAGCGACAGCTGGGAAGAAGTTGCCCGAGCCTGATATAGAGAGTTCTTCTAGATTTAACCTCTGCCTTTTATGTTTAATGTTGCCGTATTATATCCATTTCTCATCTTCTGTCACAAACCAGTCGAAAAATGATTCGTGCTTTAAACGATACTGAAGAGAAGAATACACGCTAATACCTCGCTGAAGGCTTTCTTCGGACAATTCGTGTGGTACACATTTACCAAATTTACACAAGACGTCTCGAGTGCCGATGAACGGTGGAATGATTTGAATTAAATTTTCACCCAGTTCTTCAATTGTAACAACTGAATTTTCTTCAATTGATGCCCTCAATATGTCTCTTCGTTGAAAATTCACGTTACTTATGGGATGACCTGATATACAAGGTGTTAAGAAAAAGTGTCTAAGATTAGAGGCATATAGTTCTCACCGAGAGGATTAAAATACTTCTGTCTATGCATCAACGATAAGTAACGCGAATGACTTACGACAGTGTCGTTCAGTCCTTGCCCGTACGGGCGCTGCGTATTAGGCTTCTCCGGGCGTAAACAAATCGACTTAACCCTTCGACAGTTTATCCCCTTAAATGTCTAAGTGTTTAACTCAAGAGAGACTCTTCGGAAGAAAGCTAGAAAGGGACGAGATATTATTATCATAACTATGACGTAGGGTTATGTATCCCGTGTTTTAAAATTAATCACAATTAAAATTGATCACACACGGCGTAACTATTAAAAAGATACGTGTGTCAGAAAGTACTCTGAGTAAGGTGGGCTATATTAAATAAACGTTTCTACGTTTTCACAATAATATATTTTATTCAAAGTCTATATCCGCATTATTCGAGCGTCGTTCGCAAAAGTATACTCCAAGGGTCTCGAGAAGAGTGAGTACGCGTTGTCCTGCCGATCCCTGTCCACCCTACGCGAACAGGCCCAGGGAAAGACCCAAAGGGGCGGAGTCACCCCCACCGAGCGCGCTGGGCCTGGCTTCAAGATGCTCGCTTCACCGTCTTCGGGACGGATTTTCTCACACGTGTAAAATCTAAATTTTCTTTACCGTAATTTATAATTTTATTAGACTGTCAAAGGGTTAAGAAGGACCTATACCCTATTACAAGCGCCTATCCCCTACTCCACTTTAACGTATGTGACATCACTAGCCCGCGACTTTGCCCGCGGGCATTGACGGGCGCCCTTGCCCGTCTGATCTTACATCTTAATAAATTGGCTACCATTTAAGGCAAAGTCTAGAAATCAGAAGACGAGAAAACAAAATCAGAACGCATAGGAAATGCATATCGTGCGATACGAAAAAGAATACTTGAAAATATACGTCGATCTATCATCCGAGGATATCAGTCTTATATCGAAATGGAAAGAAGGCACATCGAACATCTCTGTGTAGTAAATGTGAAAATAAACTTTTGTGTTTTATATCAAAAGGATTGATCTTAGGACCCATATTTTTACTCCTTTCGATAAATACTACAAGCTCCTACAGTTTTAAACATTTTTTTTTAAACTCTCTATATGTATACATTACCATTTATGATTTCAATTGGGATTCATAATTTACACTTTTCGTGAAAAAGATAAAATATTAAAGAATGACAATCTTGGTGCACGAAATGTATGAAATTTGAACAGAGTACATTAAAATTTGAGTATTTCTATGCATCAGTTATAAAAAGATGACACTTTTGAAAACAACAGTATGATTTTCTGTAACTAATCCTAACGATAACGTATGGAGTGTGTGCAACATAAACACAAGTATGCCGAATTTTTATCAAGAAAAAAAGTAGCTATACGTGTACTATAAAAAATACTGTGAACACTGTAAAACGTTCAGCTAAAGTGCACAATAAGAACTTCGCCATCTGTGTGTATTGGTTTATTAACATTCTTAAAACCTTTTCTCAATGTTGCTACGTGTGCTTTTGGCACGAAGCATAAATTAATACTCGTTTTGTGATCATTGTTCGAAATATTTCTAGAATAAAAGTGACAATCGGTGAGATGCAAATTATTAGACGATAACGTCTCGACGCAGAATTCTTAATAAATTCAAAATAATTCATTATAGATGTACCTTCTCTGTCTGTGTAGCGGCATTGCAAGTATTGGAGGACGAGACGTTCTTGTGATTAGTGATTAAAGCACACGTTTGGCCATTACCGTTAGGTCCTTGAAGCTTTGATATCTGGAACTGTAAAGTGAAAAATTACGATTAATTTCCCGGCGAAGAAAAATGCAAGAAGTTATTGTATCGCAAAACTTTCGTCTACCTTTTATATTCTTTTTATTTTATATTTTAAAACTGTTACGTGGAAATCCAAGTTTTACAAATGGATCATTTATATTCGACTGCTTGTGAGCAACTTTAGTAAGTAAAATCAAATTTTAGTCGAAGATACAAATGTTCGATTAAAAAAAAAATACTTCTAATCAATATTTGGTGAAACATCGTTAAGAACGAACTCTTTCTTCTGCACAGAAAAATTGTTTCCAGAATTTAGAAACCTTCTTTTCTGGTTCCTTACCTGAAGTATTTGTATAGTTCGATCCCTATCCTCCACTTGGCCTTGTAAAAAGACAACCTGCCTACGTAAATCAGCCAGCTCATCCGCAATACTACTTCCTCCACTGCCTGGAGAGGTACTAACATCTACGGTACCGCCTTCGTTCAGGTTGTAGAAGAGACCATTCTAAAATTCATCAAATTTGCATAAACTACGTCATTTAAACGCGTTGGTGACAGTTATCCTAATATTAGGTCATCCCATAAGTTCGTGTCGAATTTTATAATTTAGACCGATATTTCTCATTCTACAATTTTTTTTTTTTTTTTTGGTAAAACCGTTATGTCGTCGCTACAGTATTCCCTCGGATTTTCATTCAAATATTTTTCGCTTTCGGCACGAACTTATAAGACTTGATCCTAAAGCAACGTAACCGTGTCTTCCGTGGAAGCCAACAAGAGTGTCTAAATAAATAACGAATGTAGTGCTAGAAAAACTTTGAACTTTTTCTCATTTCTATTATCCGATATTCAATCAAACATAAACGAGATCTCACATTCGGTACCGTTACTATATATGCTACAATATCGAATCTGTAGCCGACAGACGTGAGGTATTCACTACAGTTAGAGTCTGTGACTCGGTGACTATATTTTTGTATCAATACGATACCGAATGTGAATTGTTTTACAAATCGAAAGTAACTTCGTATCATCTTGCGTTGAAAAAGTATAAGCAGTGAAGGACATTTGACCACTGACGAGAGCGGGCGCTTTGCGATTCACTCCTACTGTACCGAAAGGGTTAAGAATAAAACTAACCTTTACAGAACTATCGAATGGGTTGAGAGTTTCTGCCTGTGAACAGAACATAAAACGTTATACACTATTATGCGTTTGACAATCATACTGTATAACAATAATAAATATACATAATATAGCAGACGTAAAAAGTAAAAGGAACAGTAAGATTAAAATAATATATGCGATTTAAAAAAAACATAAATAGAACATACCCTCGTCAAACCGTTCTCCTCTGACTTGAAGGTAAAATCATGGTTGATGATAATATAATGAAAAAAATAAAAGGAAGTGCGTGTTAATACAAAAACACACAAATTGCACATGTATGGCGTGAGTAAAAGAATTATCGAGTTGTGCTCACAAAATAATATTTATAATTATAAACAAATTGTATCGGTTATTTAAATGTAACGTTAAAGTGTGCGTAATATACCTCCTGAAGAACTCGTTTTAGTTTCAAAAGCATTGTTTTGATAGATACAATGTCTTGAAACATGTGTTGATACGTATCACGATCAACTCGGAGGCTTCCTTCATCTCCAGAGTCGAGACTCGGAGAATGAATCTGAAATGAAGTATTACCAGAATTATTGTATACACAATACTAATTTCAGAACATTTCTTTAATTTTACTAGAACTGTAGCTGCCATCGAGAGATTGATTATATTTCATTGTACATCATTTTTCAGAACCGGAATTTCTTTATGTGATTGTGTTATAGTAAGTACAATATAGCAAGGGTGGCCATAGCGCGTCCTTGTGCAAATAAAATGTATGTATGAAATATGGTAAACTAAAACTGATCAATGTCCAAAAGTAATTATTTCATTTCATTTCTTGTTACAAAGTAATTAGTAAGCTAAAACTTTAAAAATTGAACTGATTTTTCAGTTTCTCATTGTTTGTTTTGTTATCAAAGATAAATACATGGCTCTTTGAAATATTCCTTCCTGAAATGTGGCTTCCAAAGGTAGTGTAGCTGGCCACTCCTGGTATATACTAGGGTGGATTGGAAAGTTCACGGCCCAAGTATGAAGGATTGCAGCTAAGTGCTTGTAATTTTTACCGAATAATATGTAATTAATTGTGTACTAATGTATACAGTTTCGTGTCTCTGTCGTCATTTTTCTCCCTTTTAGAGCTAGCGAAGTAGAGCGAAAATCATTCAAGGTCCTTGCGGTGATGTCCTTTGTCACCAGGTACTGGATCATTCCTCGCTTCTATTCGTCTCTTCTCCGTCGCTGTAAACACCCCTACTTCACCAGCTGTAAAAGAGAGCCACGAAACTTCGTACGTCGGTACACAAATGATCACAGATTACACCGTAAAAATTGCAAGCACCTAGCAGCAGTTCTTCCCACTTAGGCCGCGAACTTTTCAAACCACCCTCGTAGTATACTCTGTTCCAAGTAAAGTTAGAAAGAAATCACAGAGGAAAATATTGCACTGTTCAACAAGCTCTATCAGCCTACGGTACGATTTGTTTTTTAACTGTTATGTCAATAGCCGAAATGTATAACGTTGTTCAATACCCAGGTGCTCACTTCCAGAATTCGTCTAATAAACGCGTTTCATCACGGGTAAATCTTAATCTTACAAATTCATACACGTTTATTCACCAAATTACCAATAACAAATAACTTTTACAAAAATATTTTGCACTATGTTTTTATAATTTATATGTCGGTAATTAAAATGAGTTTACGGTCGTTTGTAGAAATCCTGAAATAGGATTATTCGGCTATATATGAAAACTGTTGATAAAATCTTTCGATAAACCTAGTGTAATATCATAATACAATGGAAAGATGCCAATTTTCTTTCTCATTTAGTGGCGGTCTCACGCAAATCTACATGTTACAATCAGACAAATTATTAAAAACTTGTGAAAAATAACGATTGTTTAGAAAATTACTCACGTTTTTTGTTGTTCTTAAAGGGCTTGAAAAATGGCGATTGCGAGTGCCATCTAAAGAACGTGGTGAATCAGTCACGGGCCTACTCCGCCACACCTTCGTCGTTCTGTCACATTCGTTTCTGAAACAAGAAAGTACGTGGAAAGATTATAATTTTGAAACAAGGTATTCCACAGATCTTAATTATACCAGAGTGAAAATTGATTAAAGCATTAACTCAACATGTTTTCAACGAAAAAGTAGAGGAATATGTCATTTTGCTTTCTTTTACTTAGCAAACACAATATTTAAAAATTCCTTATTTCAATTGCTTCTGTAACGTTTTTACTGCAAATTTAAAGAATAACACCTACTACATTACTCTTCGATTAACAAATTTTAGGGTGTAAATTATAACTAAATAAAATGTAAATATATGTGGTATCTTTAAAGGTTTATTCTTTTTTTTTTCCAGAAAATAGTTTAGAAATATATTCAACGCGAATATCAGTTATTACAGTATGTGAAATAAAATGAATATGAATGATTTAACACGATATGTAAGTTCAACGATGACATAATCACGACAACAACCTTTGCAACAATTCCCTTTTCACTCGCCACCCTCTCTATTTATACCCAGTTTTTCTTTCCACTCCTTCGCTTTCTCCCACTACACGTAATTTTTTCCCGAAATGACTGACGCGTCGGAGGGCCTCGTGCGTCATCGAGGCTCCTCGCGAAAGGGTCAGGTTCGCGTCTCGGGCCCTGCTTTTTACTGCCCTATGTCCTTTACGACAGCTCCGGTAGAGCCGAGAATTTCGGATACTAAAAGTAGTGTCCGGATATAGGACCGCGAATATGTCCGCTTATATGACCGCGAATCATCCCTACTAGTCCCTAGAACTGCAGGCTCGAAGCAGGCCTCGGCGTTATCTCAACTGATATTGAATTATCGGAATAAGGAAAATATAATTTTTCATAGTTTGTATTGTATTGTTACTGAGATTCGTACGATTAAAATAATACCAAACATGACTACAGTCCGTTCAATTTAAGAGTAACCTCGTTTCGCGCATGGGACGTGCCTAAGGCAGGGCTAGAACCACTAGAAACGTCCAAACCCCCACTTAACCGCCTACGTGTTTCTCCGTCTTACCCTCTGCTACGCTCTCTGTCTATGCGCAGAACGGACGAGAATCGGTCCGAGAGCGAGGTTACTCTTAAATTGAACGGACTTTATATTTGTATTAATTCTAAGCTAAACGAGTAATACAGCAGTGTCCGGACATGTGGCGAGAAAATAATTGAGGAAATGGAAGGTTTAATAATAATAATAACAATAAAAATAGGAAGAACGAGAATAAAGTAAACAAAATAAAATTAGGAATACAAAGTGAGAAAAAGAAAAACTAATTTTATAAACATTTTATTTCAATAATACCCAAGCTTGTTCGCTAATTGATTGTATTTTCTTACAATCGCGTTCTTCGGACAATTTTTTTAATAGGAACTAAACTGAAGAAATAATTACTAGGAGTACGAAATAATGTAACTCAACAGTACTATTACACTCTACCTATTCTCTCTCAATCGCACTACCTACTTTTCACTCTCACTAACGCACGACAGAGTGAGTCGGAGTCAGATAACGTCGACCAATTCTCGAAAATTCACCTCTCCGGATATAATGTGACCAGGTGCGGCCCCGAGCGGTAGCCATATATCCGGACACTACTGTATGTAACAATGAAATGTTAAAGAACGCTATGTACATTGATAACAAGATCGGGTAAATGTTGACTTTAGGGGAGGCAGCTCCGATGATCTTGACCTTGACATATGTTGTCAAGGACACTCTTCAGTGTAACTCCTGAGAGGTTTTAGCTTTCGCTCTTTATTCCTTAAAATGTTATTTATTATTAAAAATAGAACATTTTTCAAGCGAATATCTTAGACTTCTGTATCTTAAGAACTGAAAGAGAGATTATATGTATTATAAACACTAATTTCTAAAAGTGTTAATTATAGTTAATATTTATGAAATACATGGGCGGGAAAGAGGTTGGCCCCTCCCCCTGTAACTCCGCCCCGAAATAATCTAACCTAACCTAACCAAACTCATTGTTGAATTAAATTCAGAATAGGATAGACTGATTCATCCCAAAGGGGATTTTAGGTTAGTTTACGTTCGATTATCCGAGCCCCTCCCACGCCCACGTGTTGAAGTTTTAAACAAATTTTCCATTCAATAGTAACCAAATATTGGGACATATATCACCTTTATTGGAAAATGGATCTCCTTTCATGTTCTATACTTAATAATTAATAACTTTGTAAACAATAACGAGCCCGGTTAAAACCTCTTGAGCGTTACTGAAAAAGGTGTCCTTGATAACATATGTCAAGGTCAAGGTCATCGGAGCTGCCTTCCCTTTATAGTTTACCCAAAATCGTCACAATAAATATTTATTGGTTTATAATTATGTAATAGTATGTAGTTAATACTGTTAAAAAATGACTTTAAACAATGTTCACCTAAATTAAATCTCCAAATGATTCTTTATTTAAAAGTTATAATATATAAGTCTATGTATGGGGAAATATTTCATGTTTCTGGAACTTCTTACAGAATGCGTCGATGATGAATCAGCTTTTATTTCTGAATCAGAATTTAACTATTTCATCTTCTAATCTGCTAAAATTACCACTCGCAAAAAAAACTATTTCTATCACATTATGTCATTCATCATACCAAACAACTTTTGCAAGAACCTTATTCCGATAGCTTCAGTTCCTTCTCAGATATTCCACCGTGTCCAGTTAAAAAAGACACCCTGTATATGGAATAGAAGGAAACGTTGTTACCAATATGAAAGTAATGAAAAAAAAAGAAAATGTTGGCAAATAAATCTAATAAAAATGTATAAAATACAACGAGTGATACGTTTTACAACAGTTTTCGCGATTGTGTTTAATTTCAATCGAAGCACCGAACATTGATTGACCACTAAACTTTCCTACGAACAAACAACCGACCACTCTTCTTTCAAGTAACGGAAGTACCTTCCAGTTAGAGCCGTGACGCGTGGTTTCACCAAAGGGTTGGCGATGTTAATCGGTTTGCTCGTGGCTTTTCGTTGCGTTGGCACCGGTGATCCCACTGGCGTCGAATTCTCGGAGGACAAGCCTGAATCGCGACCATCCTCTCCGTTTCGACTCGACGTGAAATCACTTTGAATGTCTGTATTTCCACTCGCGACGCCACCACGCCTTCCGGCTAAAACGGATCGTTTCTTCGCTCCTCTCGACGTTTCGGACGTCGACGATGCCATTACACTTGTCACTCGACGAATTCAAACGACAATTAAAAATATCGTTTTCCATCGAGCGTAACTTTTACTTATTTTTAATTACTTTTTACGACGATAACGGGACGGATTATCAAGCAGGTACAAAAGTTTGTAAAGGGGAGTTGTAGAAAATGGCCAAATTTATCGTTCCTTCCGACACCTAAAATTTCATCAATAATGTCTCAGAAGTTTGGCACTATCACACATGGATACAAGTTGCGTATCACAAAATCCTTCCAGAACACATTGTCATATTGACGTATTTGCAATTACTTGCTTCATGTCGCTTAATATCCTGACGGCTTTCTTTCTAGAAAGAAAGAATTAAGTACACGTGGCACGCGTCAGTATTCTTTTGTTTCACATTTCTTTTACGGAAAGCGATCGAGCGTGGCTCTCGGTGTTGCTTGTTCCATATCTGGCGGATAATGTAGGAAATACTTGCCTGGTCCGTCTCTCCCGTCGGTCATTGCATGTATAATTGTTTTCTTGTAATTTTTTGTGGACGCTAATGGCTAGTAAGTCGAAGCGACATTAATAATAATAACATATGTTTACATTTAAGTTATTTCTATGTACTCAATTTATCGAGGCAGGTTTGCATGACTATAATTTTTGTCACGTGCGAGAAATTACTATCAACGCTGATTTTATCGATGTACAAAATTACTTTCGTGTTCCAATGTAATAATACAATTTTTTTGGGTCACGTGCTCAGGCGCAATTTTTAGCGGATATTACTTGTATCCACAGTGCGATAAATTTTAATCTAACTCTGAATGTAATTAAAATTCCTTACTTAATATAAAGTATTGCAATACTTGCATAGAAATATTGTTATTTACAGATACTTTTCCGTAGGAAATCCTTCACGTGTTATAAAATTAACCCCTTAACCTATGATTTCTTTTCGGACTATGCATCTAAGCGTCAGCCATTTTCTATTTTAGTACTCAGACAACAAAAACTAATCTGTCACAGATTAATTACATTTAGCAATCATTGGTCTTATAAATTCAAACAAAAGTTAGGATTACAATGCATTTTTCTCATTAATATAACTATTTTTCTCACATCTTCACCAGAATCTCTGCCACGAGTCTGACACGTTGTCATAGGTTAAGGGGTTACCTTAATTGCTTTTAATTGTGAGAATGGTATTTTAAGGAGTAGAAAAATTGATTATTTTACGTTCTTCACAAAAAAAAAAAGAACTAAGATATGCTAGAATTGTTGGAATACTCTCGATAAAAATTAAAAAATGAAAATTTTACATGAAATATATGTACATACAATATGTATATAGAATGAAATGAAAGCTTAACTAAATGTCTAACTTTCATTTTCTATTTTCATATGGTTCTGACAGAAATTTGATTTCGTATAATATTTTTCGCATGTGTTTTTTTACATACTTCCCTCCATGATATCAGATATAAGAGAGCAGCAGTTTCTTTGAAACATGCACACGGTTAACCTATATAGGTCATTGATTTTTAAAGAGTTACATCGCTGCACGTTACAGAGTGGTAACCTGTAGAGTATCAGCAGAGAAAAATTTATAACCATTTTGTCCATATTTACCCATATGAAAATTTCTTCCCGCATATTTTTCTATAATATTGAAAGGATGAAAGATGAAACATTTCACCTGATAAAAATATCTCTTTAATATTTCCAGATTATAATGTCTAATTGCTACATGTTCAGTGAATTAAATTAATGAAATAAGCTTTCTTAATTAAAGATAGTCGGTTATTCATTCATTGATATCTTTCGAGAGGTGTACGCGCTTAACTCCCCTGTAAATTGCAATGAATGAGAAAGTAAGTTTCTTTTCAAAGAATTCTATGCACCTAGTACATTTGCACATACCAGAACGTATATTTTTGCTTTTCAATTAAGGGAGTATTTCTAGTCTAGAGTATCATTTTTTACGACTTTTTCATGTTCCTTTTACAAAGAAACAATAAGACTTTTTAGAATCGATTTTTTGCATACATGTTTATTCACGTTTCAAGAATATTCGCCATTTTTTTAAAGTGAAAATAATCAAAATTGACTAAATTATATGTTAGTACGTTCGTGATAAAAAAGAGTGTCCTTCTGGCTGACATGATTCCGGCCATTTTATTTATCCAAAAGGAAAAGGCCAAAAAGATTCTTGATTAGAATGGATGATGCTATAGTGTGAGCCAGGATAAAAAAAAAATATTGAAAATTTAAAAAGTGGGGACACCTTCAAGTTTGCATGTCGATTTTTTCCATTTCTTTTTTCGTGTTTTGTGGGCTATAAAATTCGGAAAAAAATAGGAATTATTTGGTTTTCTGATTCCTGCGATAGCGGCACATCTACTGAAGGTGCGTGCAAAATTTGGAGTCAATCGGTCAACTAGAACTTGAGATATCGTGTCAGCTATTTCGAAAAATACGGAGAAAAACGTGTTTAAAGTTTTTCATACCAGTTATATGAAAGTGATTATATATTCGACTAATCTGTCCAGGACCATACCGTGGATCTTCCTCTTGTTCAAAAAAATCCTGCTCAGCTGATTTTTCTTCTCTACGTGCAACCCCAGCCTTCTTAACAGCTTCTGTCCACCGACTCTCATGTCGAGAATTAATGTCAACCTCTGCTTGCTGGACAGTAGTAACTCCCCACAAAAGAAAACACGTAGAATTTATGAAAATTCCTCGTTGAATATACCGACGGCTAAAAGCGTGCCAATTTCGACGGCTACTGCTCCTGAATGCGTATGTTTTGGAGCGAAAATTCAAATCAACGAATTTAACGATCCGTTGTCATTTTGTGTTTCCGCTTCTCTTCGATGGTTTTTCTGCAGATGAATCTTCGTAGATCAGTTTAATTACTTCCAAAATTTTACACAGTGTTCTTTAAATATTCATGAGTACGTTATTTTTACGAATTCGGGCAAATCCTTCCGCAGGCATAATTTCGAAAATCTAAACTTTCAGCAAATGCAAAAAGAAAATGATTTTCTGAGAAGTCTAGACTAGAATACCCTCTTAAATCTCGTAGTTCGGTTACTATCTCGTTGCCTAGCCTGCGCGAATGAAAATCTTTTTACGCGCTGACGTTGAAAAAAACTATAAAGATAAATCCATCGATAATATTGTAAATTTGAATATGTGAATATTTGAAAATAAACTTTATTTCGTCAAAAAATCTAACAGTAATAATAACATAAAATGTATATACATATGTATTTACAGTAGTTAAGTGAAAAGGTATGAAACGTTATTGTTTTAATAAGCATTATACTTGTAAAAACGAAAAATTAAAAATACTTTTTAATTTGTTCGCATAACAAAATGAAAATTTATAATATACAGAAACACGCGACGATTTACTGACAATTATATTAAATATTTCCGTTTAACGTAAATAAATGCTTCTTTTTAAAGAAAGTATAGGTATCCAAATTAAAACAAGAAAAAAGGAAAATTCATGCAGCAGAATTGTACGTATAAAGGGCATTGTAAATGTTCAAGAAAGAAATACCAGACGACTTTTTCTCTTCAGAAAATATGTACCCTGTTCTGTTCAAGGTTAGGTAGCTATGTACACTTACTGACGTTACCAACGCTAATTTTAAATTCTTTTTCTTCTTGCTCCACCCGAAGGATAAATTACATTTATATCTTTCGTATCTATAAACGACGCAATTAAAGTCAATTTTAATCAACAAATTCAACGAACTTAAATAAGTATAAAAATACTATATGAACTACGCTTTATTAAACGAAATTTTTCATTTATTAAACTAGTACAAAATTGAATAAGTCTGTAATTATATTGTTTGTGTTTTATGCATAAACACGAGTTTTTAAATTTATTGTAATTCATTGATGATGTAGCGTAAAAAATGTAAGTATTAAAGTTAAAGGCCGATTCAATTTGTTATCTAATTTACACTAATTATTCATACAATGAATGGTCCAAAGACCAGCTTAATTTCTTATCTACTTTCCATTAATCATTAACTGTTCATCTAAATATGCACTAACATCTTTCAATGTTTCGTTCTATCTACAGAGAACGATCAGTTACAATTTACACCGAAAGTTCACATCTAACCTAAATGTACTGTCTCGTAACTTGCACCGAAAATAATATAAAACATATCGACAAATGTTCAATATTTAACTGTCTTGTCCAGTTAAATCGTAGCCTTACGATTTCTTCGATCACCACTGTATACACTAGTCTGCAATTTGTTGCTTGAAAACTTACTCAAAGAACGTTAAAATATTGCATGTAACATACCTTCGACAGTCTTGAATTTTAAAAACAAGGATCGAAAAGTAGAATGAAACTTAAACTTTATCTAAAACACGACCCCCGCATGTTTACCATATTTCCGAATAAAGAAGCACGTTTTATCGAATTACAAAAGCAATCCGATCCACCGGTTTCTGTTTCCTTGACAAAAGTTAGGTTAGGTTGTCAAGCCGGTGGAATCTAGACCGAAAATCGGAATAAAAAAACTGCGAAGGGACGTGGGGGTGGGTAAGAACAGAAAGGGGTACATCCATCAGAGGTTAGTAATAGGTATCACGAAGGAGTCTGTCAAGCGAACACGAAACATGAATCCGTGGCACGAACACACGGTGTCCCGGCACAGATTTAAATGATTCATTCAATCTCTACTGTAGTTTGCGCAATGCGGTGGCCACGATGTGCGTATCAATTGCACACCGTATTGCCTCGAGATCACCATTGGCGGGAAATCGGAAGAACGTGTCGGGGGGAATGCACGTGACCACACGAAAATTCGTCAGCGACAGCTACTTCTCGGTGCCCGCACTAGCTACTAACACGACCGCCATGTTAACCGGCGCACCGCGATCTTCGGAATGAGCTTTGTAGCCGGCACATCCTCGCAGCTTGCTTCGACGTTGCTTTTCTCGCGCATGCGCAGACGCGATTACAGCGTTTCGTTCGATATCGTGGGGAATTG